TCACTTTTCAGATTTGAATTTAGCATTGAATTTCCAGGAAAATGATGTAAAACATGAACATAAAAAGTAAAATTATTTTTTGTGGCCTTCCGGTGGGCAGTTGGCTCTATTCCAATATTGATCACCCCTACTGGACATGCCACTCCATAAATGTAAGGTCACTTGAAATTACGTCTCTATTCCCTTAAAGACACACTTTGAGTTGAAAGTCTAATGCTAAAAACTATCATTTACAAATTTTAAAAATCGTTAAAAATAACAATATTATAACATCTTTATATTGCATAATGCATATTCTTCTACACATTCTCTAAAAAGGTTAACAATACAACAGCAACATGCAGGGTGAGTAAAAAAATGTAATTATCACGGAGGAAATCTTGCAATGCTTTCATTTAGAAACAATTTTATTTTAATAAAGTGTAACGTTAGAAACATTAAGGCTTGAACATTTTAATACAACGCAACGTATAGAACATTTTTTCAAATCTTTCTTAGAAACGAATAAACAGTTTTGATTGTCAGTTGTAAAAAAGTGTAACAAAAAAGTTTTCACAATAACGTTTAGTTCTGTAGATATGGCTGTTCAGGAAATGTAAAAAGTGTGTTCTGTCGCTATAGCTGTTCAGGTAATGTAAAATGTGTGTTCTGTAGATATGGCTATTCAGGAAATGTAAAATGTGTGTTCTGTAGATATAGCTGTTCAGGAAATGTAAAATGTGTGTTCTGTAGATATAGCAGTTCAGGTAATGTAAAATGTGTGTTCTGCAGATATAGCAGTTAAGGTTATGTAAAATGTGTGTTCTGAAGCAATAGCAGTTCAGGAAATGTAAAAAGTGTGTTCTGCAGCTATAGCTGTTCAGGAAATGTAAAAAGTGTTTTCTGTATCTATAGCTGTTCAGGAAATGTAAAAGGTGTGTTCTGCAGCTATAGCTGTTCAGAAAATGTAAAAGGTGTGTTCTGTAGCTATAGCTGTTCAGGAAATGTAAAAGATGTGTTCTGCAGCTATAGCTGTTCAGGAAATGTAAAAGGTGTGTTCTGTAGCTATAGCTGTTCAGGAAATGTAAAATGTGTGTTCTGTATCTATAGCTGTTCAGGTAATGTAAAAAGTGTGTTCTGTATCTATAGCTGTTCAGGTAATGTAAAAAGTGTGTTCTGTATCTATAGCTGTTCAGGAAATGTAAAATGTGTGTGCGCGCTGCATAGTTTTATTTGTTCATAAAAAGATTCCATAAAGATTATGCAAACCTTGCATTTACTGAAAGAAAGGTATTTTCTTTAAAAGTTGATAACATTTCCCGTAAACAAGGGTTTTGTTATAAAATTAACTAAATCATTTTTTTCTAAAAATGTTTGAAAACATAACTTTGACCTGATATTTCTGCTCCGTCAAAGTAATAAAACGTAAGAAATACCTGGGACATCTTAGATAAAAATAAATTTTAGGATTTAAAAAAAAATTACTTTCCAATTTTTAGATTAGATCAAGTAGAAGATGGCTCATGATAATCTTCAAAAAATTCTAGTCAAACGCCTTTTTCAAGTCTAAAATGGCATACTGTAATAACAAGGAAACATGGGTCCATATAATGCATTTGTGTACACAGAATTGTGTATACAGAACTGTTTGCACAGAATTGTGTACACAGAATTGTGTACACAGAATTGTGTATACAGAATTGTGTACACAGAATTGTGCACACAAAATTGTGTAAACGGAATTGTGTACACAGAATTGTTTACACAGAATTGTTTTCACAGAATTGGAAAAATAGAATTGTGTCACAGAATTGTGTACACAGAATTGTTTACACAAAATTGTACACACATAATTGTTCACACAGAATTGTACACATAGAATTGTGTCACAGAATTGTGTACACAGAATTGTTTACACAAAATTGTACACACATAATTGTTTACACAGAATTGTGCACACAGAATTGTGTCACAGAATTGTGTACACAAAATTGTTTACACAGAATTGTGAACACAGAATTTTGCACACAGAATTGTGTACACAAAATTGTGTACTGCATTTTGGGTGTTACAAGATGTAAATATCAGTAATCAATATAAAAGATAGATTATGACAGAAAAATAAACACTCCCTACATATTCTGCAGTATGGAATTTTTTCTATAATATGACATCATACTTTCAACTGTTTACAACAACAACATGGTTAATTTCTGCCCCTAATATTAATCGATGGGATAGAATTAAATGGAATCATGGAATTAAATGGACCCCTGCAAGAAAATTGTAGAATAGTATTGGGTCTGTTTATACTGCACTGTTGCTGTGTCTTATATTGAACTGTTAAAAGTCATAACTTGAGTAGTCGACTTCCTATTCCAGAGTTTTCTGGTTCTCTGTATTTCGATATTGAATTTTTCAAAAAAGGCTTGAAGTGGATATATTTTACTACCAGAAACTTCATAAATACTTTTTTTCAAAATTTTTAAAGTAAAAAAAAAATATCTTAAATATAATTTGATTGTCTGTCTATCTGTCTGCCCGTTTGAATCAAATGTGTGTCCAAAAGTTTTTGCTTTTTGTAAAATTTTGAAAATGCACCAAAAATATTATTAAATCCACAACCTTCTTTTTGTTATTGTTTTATATTGAGAAGACACTTACAAATAAAGCCACAATTAAAAGTTAAATAAAAGATGGGCGCCCTAGCATTTGTATATAAAATAGATGATTTAGTTCACTATGTTTTGTGAATATATATATATATGTAAAAGATGATTTTGGTATGTTTTGTACATGGATCTCTAGGTTCATTATGTAAATATGTAAATATAAATATATATATATATATATAGTATATAATTTTGGTACCATGGTTCTCTAGGTACAATATGTTTGTGAATATAGGCGAATATATTAAGTAGTGTAAGCGGTGATGCATACAACCTGGATCTATTCATTATTCAATATTTGTTTATGTTTATCCGGTATCTACTATATATACGGAGATAAATTATACCGAGGGGTTTCCTACTAGGTTTATTTTTAGCTTTTTTGTTAAAAATTATATTTTAAAACAATAACGAAAAAGATTTTGTGAGATTTTTCTGTTTGTATTTTGATAAATTTTTAAAATTTGAGGGAATTGATCTGTAGAAGTCATAATTCTTCTTTATAGTCTATTCTGTAGAAGTCATAGTTCTTCTTTATAGTCTGATCTTCAGTAATCATAATTCTTCTTTATAGTCTGATCTGTAGTAGTCATAATTTTTCTTTATAGTCTGATGTTCAGTTTTCATAGTTCTTCTTTATAGTCTGATCTTCAGTATTCATAATTCTTCTTTATAGTCTGATCTGTAGTAGTCATAATTCTTCTGTATAGTCTGATCTGTAGTATTCATAGTTCTTCTTTATAGTCTGATCTGTAGTATTCATAGTTCTTCTTTATAGTCTTATCTGTAATAGTCATAATTCTCCTTTATAGTCTGATCTTCAGTAGTCATAGTTCTTCTTTATAGTCTGAGTCTGATCTGTAGTATTCAAGCTAAATCAAGCTAAATATGTTTGTGCATGCCTCTCTGCAGCGAAATTCCTGGAATTTCAGGAAATAAAAGGAAAGTTTAACAAATATTTTATGCGAAAATACTACCTTTAAATGAATTTTTAATATTTTAATTTATCGCTTTTTTGGTCAGACAGTCTGTTTTTGAAGTCTAGACTTTTATTAAAAACCATCTGGAACTTTGAACAAAGCAGATGGAACAATTGTTTGCGGTTTAATCACTTTATTAATTCTATATAACATATTTTTTTCAGAGAAAAGTTTTAATCTTCTTTTTGTGCTTAGGCCGGCTCCAATTCAGTAATAAATGAAAATGTTTGCTTTGGATTTCAGAATTTCCTATTTATCTTTTCTTTTATATCTTCGTTTAACGAGGAAAGTAAAATGTCCAGATTTTGTGTAAATTTCAGGGAAACTGCATCCTAAATCCTTCTTTGCTGCAAACTGTACTATCAACAAACTGAAAATATCAAGTTCCTTTATTTTGTATTTCCATGTTTTTATATTTTTTATTGAATTCTTGACAGAATGAGAAGAATAGTTTGTGCGCCATGTCCTTTCCCTTTATTCCTATTCCCTGCCTCGAAGCCTTTATTATAGTCTTTTTATGACATTTTTAATGATTGAGCAAAGAAAGAAACACGTTTACAGTTGCAGGGAATTATAAATATAAGGAAACATACATTCCGTCTAGTCGTTTTTTTTAGTAACCCTGTACTACGTTTTGTCACTATGATTTAAAAATTACTAGATGTTATGCCTTGCATTCTGTTCGTATTATAGTTAATACTGTGGCTGCACAGTGCACAGTGAAAGATTAATGTTTTTATCTCTCAGATTTAGAAATGTTTTCGTAGGTTCTAAAACCTAAGGATTAAACGGTTCTGAATAGGAAAACATAAATCTTCTTTTTCTATTTCTGTAAATACAAGAAATCAAAATAATTATTTACATTTTTATAACCTTAGGGGCTGTACACTTAATTTCAACTGAACCCTTCATTTACAGAAAGCCTTATCCGATTCACAACGGTACCCTGTATACCCTAAAAATAATCAATTTTTAGCTATAAATAAGGAATATATCATTCATCCTTGATCTTACAAATTGTTACAGGGTGCCGTTATGAATCAGACAAACCACTCTTTAAATGGAGGATCATTTGATATTCCCTTTTAGATGTATTTTTGATACATTTTGAAACTTTCATTGAAAATTAACACTTGGATTATTCTAATATCGACGTAGACCTTTGATATTTCAAACTATGAGATCTGCTAGACCAAATACTTAATAGGCAAAGTTAAAAACATCAAAGGTTGGTTGTGTAACCAAGTCGCAGCTAGATGTAGCGATTGGAAAATTAGAGTTTGAGGCAAGTGAGCATTTCCTTCTTTTTGTGCGTAATTTGAAACTAAGATATGTCAGAATGTTATAGAATGTATGTTTATAATACATATTGTATTGTATATATTTATTCATTTTTGTTTGATTACAATGAATGATCTGCGATATTTAACAAATAACATTTGACTTCTATTCATCATAATAGTTAACTAACATCAAATACGAGATGGGGTCTGGGGATTTCTGGGGAGGGGGGGAGGGTGGTGTCGTGTTGGGGATTTGATGAGCAGGAAAGGAGGGTTATACGTTAGAAACATTGGGGAATAAGAAGACGGCGGGGGGGGGGGGGTCACGTTTCTAAGATGGAATAAAATCGATATTACAGATCAATAATGTATTTAAGTCCGGGATGAAAGTTAGAAGAACGAAAGAAAGAGAGAGAGAGATAGAGAGAGATCACATGATTAAACATTTGTCCAGTTTTCCGTCCTGGAACCCCTTCTTCCGTAGCTCAGTGTTCTCCTTGAACCCCTTCGACCAGGGATTCTCCTTACACCACTCCCCTTCTCCGCTCCAAACCGTTCTCTTCTCCCCCCTCTCCCCCCACCTGTTCCATTTATAGTTTGGAACCGTAGCTCTAAAAAATATTTAAATGTAGAATAATTTGAAACAAAAAGTAAAATAAAAACAATTCTCTTCTTAAATCCTCTCTGCGTCATTTAATTTCGGATTATCTTAATAATTGGCATGTTAAATTCTCAAGTTCGTATAATTTAAAAATGTAATGGTGCATACAGTGCGTTTCTAAAAAGAACGACTTTTAAAAATTAAAATCATTGTTTGTTAACCCTAGCAACGGTTTACTAGCCCGCATAACCGGCCATAGTCAGTGTTTTCGGGGTAAAGTCTAGCTTGAGTTATGCGGAATTAGTAAACTTAAAGTTAATAAATCTTGTAAAGCAAAACCTGGCCTTTTGGGCTTCTATGCGGAATTTTCCGAAAATTAAATTTTAAGAAAAAAATTGGCTACCTGACTGAAATACTGTCTGTTTGACTATGACTAGATATGCTGTCTCTATCTGAGACTTGAAGGTACGGGGATTCTGCCAGGGTCGGCAGAGGAGAAGTCAGGGACGTCTCTGACGCAGGTTGAAAGGGCGAGGTCATTGACGTCTCTGAATGGGGTCCTGAAAAGGGTGAAAGTATGGATATGGTTGGGGAGAGTGGACCACTAAGTAGAGAGCTGGTTGGAGAGTAGCAAGGTTGATTATCACAGCTAGGCGAGGTCGGAGGTTCAACAGCCCGAGCTCGACTCCCAGGTCTAGTTGACCGGCCGGGTCGACAGCTCAGCCGGTTCGGTTGAATTTGAGCTTGGGAAGATTGAGGACGCTCAGGTACAGGTCGGAGAGGTTGGAGAACTAGTTGGGAGCTCCGAGAGTGAGGACTGTAGGGGGAGAACTGAGATAGGGTTGAGGAGAAGGGAGAGGGACAAGAAGTATTTCTTGATATGTTTTGTAACTCAGTCTTATTTACTAGGAGAGAACTGATTCCTAATCGCAGCTGTTTTTGTTTCTCTGATATGGATCTTAGAACAGGCTCACGAGATACCTCCTCCAGTTTTAGAGAAGTTGGTCGTCTTAGTTTAGTCTTCAATATGGTACTTTTGTTGCAGTCTAGCGCGGCCGCCGCGCACATTTCAAATATAAGTCGCGTGTTCAAACCAGTTTTTGCGCTTGTCAAGCATCCCTCCATACCCAGGGACTCAGGCAGTAGTGCACAAGCATCCCGGGTCTAAAAATAAAGTTGTTTAAGAAATGAAATAGTTTTGATGATTTATAGAGCGGAGAAAGTTTTCTTATAAAAATTATGGCAGCGAGTTGTTTCATTTCATTCTAGAGAGCACTGCAGTGTAATCAATCTCCTGCCGGGGGTCTGCTAGATTAAATTTTTCATGCAAATTTTCGCAAGATTTTATGCAAACTTTTATGCAAACTATTTTCCTAAATTATTCAGTTAGTTCACTCATTTTCTCTTTATTCCATACCATTTGTAATAGTGTTTGGCCATGAACACTCTGCTTCAGTTTAAATTTATTCTAGTACTTTTTCTAACGTGACAAACTAACACAAATGTTTAGGCTACCACAGAATTCTCTGGAATTATTTCATAGAATTCTCTGGAAAATCAAAGGATTCTTACCATTGTCTAGGAATATAAAATATTGTAGTAAAGTATTTTGTAGAATTGTATATCACAGAATTCTCTAGAATTATTTCATAGAATTTTCTAGAAAATCAAAGGATTCTTACCATTGTCTAGAAATATAAAATATTATAGTAAAGTATTTTTTAGAATTGTATATCACAGAATTCTCTAGAATTATTTCCTAGAATTCTCTGGAAAATCAAAGGATTCTTACATATTGCCTAGGAAAATAAAATATTGTAGTAAAATAATTTGTAGAATTGTATATCATAGAATTCTCTAGAATTGTCTAAAATTTCATAGAATTCTCTGGAATTGTGTATGATATCATAGAAGCATCTAGGATTGTCTAGGATTTTGTTGAATTCTCTGAAATTGTGAAGAATATCATAGAAGTATCTAAAATTGTCTGGGACTTCATTGAAGTATCTAGAATTGTCTTGGATGTAAACAGCCCCTGCACAACCACAGATTAGTACAGATCTAGGTTTACCTTAGTATCAAGCATATCAGAAGCACAACCAGAGATTAGAACAGATCTAGGTTTACCGTAGCATCAACAATATCAGAAGCACAACCACAGATTAGAACAGATCTAGGTTTACCTTAGTGTCAAGCATATCAGAAGCACAACCAGAGATTAGAAAAGATCTAGGTTTACCGTAGCATCAACCATATCAGAAGCACAACCAGAGATTAGAACAGATCTAGGTTTACCGTAGCATCAACAATATCAGAAGCACAACCACAGATTAGTACAGATCTAGGTTTACCTTAGTATCAAGCATATCAGAAGCACAACCAGAGATTAGAACAGATCTAGGTTTACCTTAGTATCAACAATATCAGAAGCACAACCACAGATTAGTACAGATCTAGGTTTACCTTAGTATCAAGCATATCAGAAGCACAACCAGAGATTAGAACAGATCTAGGTTTACCTTAGTATCCACCATATCAGCAGCACAACCACAGATTAGAACAGATCTAGGTTTACCATAGCATCAACAATATCAGAAGCACAACCACAGATTAGAACAGATCTAGGTTTACCTTAGTATCCACCATATCAGCAGCACAACCACAGATTAGAACAGGTATATCTAGTGTACTCCAGACCTCATCTATCCAGCCTCGAACTTCTAGTCTTCTCTCTTCAACCTCGTCCTTTACATCCTCATTCTTCTGTCCTCTTCTCTCTATATCATAGCAGACAAGTGCTACATCAGATTCTCTAAATGCCATTTCAAAATTAAAAACAGAAACGTCTTTGTCTATCTTCAGTTTTTAGGGATTTTGGCAGGTTGGATTAGGTCAAATTTTGGCAGGTTAGAATAGGTCAAATTTTTGCAGGTTAGAATAGGTCAAATTTTGGCAGGTTGGACTAAGTCAAATATTTTGTGGATTTTATTAAAACATTAATTGTGTAACTCGTCAAGCTGTAAAAGCCAAAAATAATGAAAATAGCAAATCTCATTTCTTACAATATTGTTATATTTTCTTATTTTTAATCTAAAGAATTGAATTTTGATTTTGTATTTCTTGAAAGTTGTAGATATTTCTAATAATAGACAGCTAGCAAAAATATCAGAATATCAAATGCCAAATGATCAAAAATCTTTAAATGATCAAAAAATGTACGTTATACTGTCAGGCCAACTAGTTTTTTTTCAAAAAATATCATACAATTTTACAACAAAGTTAATTTTAATGTAAAAGGTATTCTTAAACATATTTTTATGATAAACCGTCTTTAAAATGCAAACTCTCTCTTTCACGCAATCTAATTTTTCTTCTTTCTCTTCTCTTCTATTTTCTTCTCTTCATTTTTCTTCTATTTTTCTTCTCTTTTTACTTATATTTTCTTTTATTTTCTTCTCTTCTTTACTCTTCTGTTCTCTTATCTCTTTTCTTCTATTCTCTACTCTTCTGTTATCTAATTCCTTTTTCTTCTGTTCTCTTATCTCTTATCGTCTCCTCTTTGTTTTCTCTTTGTTGTTGACATTTAACTGGTTTTGAGATGAACAATGCAGTACGATCCGTCGTTATGATTTTTCTCTGATTTGTTTACATTTCTAGCTTGTAGACCTAATTGAAACGTACTGCGTTTGTACTCCATAATTAGGCATCTGATCATTTGGCATTTGATGTTTTGATATTTTTGCAGACAGCTATCCATAGAATCCATAAAGGTGCTAAATTAAAAGTAATCATGAAATATACGATATGGAATCTTTTCTTTCCAGAAAGTTCAGAGAACATTTTATTTTCGTTTATAAGTCAAATTAGTAATACAAAAAAACTTCAACGTTTAAAATCTCTAATTTTACCTTGAAAGGAATAGATATTTCGAACGATGAATCCTGTTAGATCAAATAATCTAAGTTTATGAAAAAATAAATTTAAGTTTAATAAAACTCGGGAAATTCCCTTTATGTTGAGCCAATATATAATGTAAGGTAGAAAGAGAGATTATTGTGTATATTATTATATTACAATGTTTACATAATTATTCCTGTGTTTGCTCTGGTTCGGATAACACAGAGTAAAGAAAAGTAAAGAAAACCAACACTAACCTGTAAACCAGCGGACGTAGAACCGAGTAACTCTTTAATCCTAAACAAATATTACAAATTAATTATCAAATATTTGTATTGCATACTTAACCTTATCAAAAGGTTAAAAATACCTGCTATGGCATATTTTATACGAGTTCAAGGTTTAGAATATTTTATACTTAACCTAAGGTTTAGAATATTTTATACTTATCCTAAGATTTATAATATTGTATACTCTACCTAGAGTTTAGATTATTGTATACTTAACCTAAGGTTTAGAATATTGTATACTGAACCTAAGGTTTAGAATATTGTTTACTGAACCTAAGGTTTAGAATATTTTATACTTAGCCTAAGATTTATAATATTGTATACTCTACCTAGAGTTTAGATTATTGTATACTGAACCTAAGGTTTAGAATATTTTATACTTAACCTAAGATTTATAATATTGTATACTCTACCTAGATTTTAGATTATTGTATACTTAGCCTAAGGATTAGAATCTTTTATACTGAACCTAGGTATTGTATACTGAACCTAAGGTTTAGAATATTGTATACTAAACCTAAGGTTTAGAATATTGTGCACTGTACCAGTTCAGAATATTGTATTCTAAACCCATGGTTTAGAATATTGTATTCAGAACCTAAGGTTTAGAATATTGAACTTAACCTAAGGTTTAGAATATTGTACACTAAACCTATGGTTTAGAATATTGTATACTAAACCTAAGGTTTAGAATATTGTATAGTAAACCTAAGGTTTAAATATTGTATACTGAACCTAGGTATTGTATACTAAAACTAAGGTTTAGAATATTGTATACTGAACCTAGGTATTTTATACTGAACCTAAGGTTTAGAATATTGTATGTTGAGACTAATCAGTAGGGTAGAATGAATGTATTGAGTAAATAATCCAGCATGAAAGAATATTAATGAATACTAATGATAGACTAGACCATGAACCTTAAAAATAATAATTGTTAATATTTGTGTTTATTATTCAAAGGTTTCACTGCAAATCTGTTACTTTTCAGACACAAATATTTGCAAAGCTTGCAAATATTCAACTTTGTAAAGAATATAAATATTTGAATATTTACAGAATATCTAGATAGGAGAGATTTATAAACTCTCAGATATTTTGAAACTAAATTAAGATGTTTATTTTGTTAAATAATTGAATCTAAAATATTAAATTATATTGAAAATATAATCTGAGAACTGAAAAGAGTCAGGGATGTATACAGTTTTGTGCTAAAAAGCAACTTTTTAACAACTTTCGACTTCCCCCCTATACTTATTTTCCCTCCCCTTTGTAAAACTCTGCTCGATCCTACAATGCCGTTTTGAAACACACTTCAAGAAAGCCTGAAAGGACGTCTATATAAACCTCAATCAAATCAAAGTTTTGTTTATTGAAAGTGTCAAGCTGTATAGAAAAATCAACCACAATTGAAAAAAATCCATTTTTGAGAAGAAAATGTTGACACATCATGCTTTCTTGACCAGAATAGAGCTTTTAAGAGTACCCTTGTCAATCGGAAATGACATTTTATAAATGGAGTTGAAATTACGTCTACAGTCACTTAAAAAACTTTTACTCCATGAATATTAGCCTCTAACTTTGAAGCCCCCCCCCCCACCCCCTCCATTCTTCATGTAAAAGTTTGCCAAACTACATAAAAAGATTTTACAGGAATATAAGTTTTAATACAAATATATTAAAGATATTCATCTTTGATATTTTTATAGGAAGTAAAAACTAAACAAAATTTATAAATTTTCTGAAACTAATTGAAAAAATATTGATTTACTAGGGGAAAAATATCAATTTACTGAAACTAAATGAAAATATTCTAAATAACTGAAAAAAATGTAATGAACTTAAAAATGGATTTTCTGGCAAAAACAATGAAAATATGTTGATTTACTAGAAGAAAAATATATAATTTACATAGACTAAATAAAAAAATTAAATTACTAAAACTAAACAAAAAATATTAATTTACTGAAACTAGATAACATTATATTGATTTACTAAGTTTAAATTTAAATTTATTAATTACTAAAACTAAATTTACTGAAACTTTATAAAAATATCTTATTTTCTTTAAACTTAATAAAAATATCTTAATTTACTGAAACTAGATATCATTATATTGATTTACTGAAACTAATTGAAAATATATTAATTTACTGAAAAGATAGGAAATACGTATTTGTGGAACAATGTTAGAAAGATTATTAGAAAATAATGAAAAGTTAATCAGATCAGAATGAGGAGAGAATTAGAAATGTTAACAGAGAAATAAGACCTGATGTATCCCAGATTGTCAGGTTTATTTTCCGTCCAGCAATCTCAATCTTGGTCTGAACCTTGTCAAAACCAGTTCTCTTATACTCCTAGATAAAACACTTTTAAAAGGATAAAAAAGTTTTAAATAATAAACCCCAAAAGGAAATAAATAATTGCCTCGAACTTTGATTTTCTAATTTTTATATGTGTGGGTTTGGTCTTGCAAAATTCATAGTTTGAAATATCAGATTTTTTGGGTTCAATCAGTTCCTTTATAAAAATTATATTCAATTTCTCGGGATCTTTTTTTAAAGAATATTTTTAACTCAGAGAAGAAACAAAATAATGTTTTCTTTTTCAAACCTTGAAAGTTTCAATCATGTTAAAAGAAATTTCATCTTTGATTAATTTCTTCAGATCATATTTTTTGTTCTAAATTCTGAAAATTTTATATTCCTTTTTTAACCTTTGGATCTAAAAAGAATTGAATGAATCCGAGGAACTTGAACCTCAATCTCGTTTCGTCTTAAATTGTCTATGTTTATTTTCTTTAAATAAAACCAAGAAAGCTTGAAATGTAAAATATTTTTAATAAAACTTGATAAATGGTTTAAACAGTGTCCAGCACCTCATAAATTAGGGTTAATGGACCCATTCAAGGGCTTTAATTTGTTTCAATTTTCAGGAGGACCTGTGCAAATATACTGGACTTGCTTTAAATATATTCTGTTTAGTTTCATGGTTTAATATATCTCATAATTATTGGTGCTTTTGAGAGTAAATACAAATTCAATATCAATATTATTTTGTATCTCTAATTTTTTTATACATTTGGGGAAAACGCAGTAATATTAATAAACCAGGGCGTTTTTTTTTTTGGGGGGGGAGGCTCAATCTTTATAAACTTTCCAGGCTTAGAGGCTGAATACTCCCTGGAATTAATAACCCGCCCTGTCTACGCAAATACTCCCTGGAACTAATAACCCGCCCTGTCTACGCTCCTAAATTTATTGCAGAACGTATTATCATTCTAGTCCAGAGTATCCATCTTGTAGCAGTAATAAAGCTTTGTTGTGGTCCTCTAAATATAGATTTACCTCTAAGAATGTGTTCTTCATGAATCTGGAGATGAGCGTGCTCTTCCCGCACCCTGAGCTCCCAACCAGAACTATCCGAACCTCGCGCTCTCCGGACATCCTGGCAGACAAACTTTTTAAAAATATTTTTTTTGTAAAAATATTTATGGTGAAGTAAAGCAGAGTACTGCAGAACACTAGATTCCAGGGGAGGGCAGAAATGTTTAGATTAAAAATTAATGAAAAAAGAAAATGTTATTATTTCTTTGGGAGGAGAATATCTGCATCTTTCTTCCTATCTATCTATCTATCTATCTATCTATCTATCTATCTATCTATCTATCTATCTATCTATCTATCTATCTATCTATCTATCTATCTATCTATCTATCTTTCTATCTATCTCTCTATCTATCTATCTATTCAAATGATTCCTCTATCCCGGAAACATGAAACCATGATAATAATAGTTGAATCTTATAGCTGAATAAACTACAAATGAACTAATTACTGGGGTTGAACTATTAATAACTTTTTTTAAGATGGCCGGGTATGCATTAAGACCTTAAAAAAAATATTCAAAATCGCAATATAAATCTAATCATACACATTAATATCGGAGAAATTTCCACAAAGCCCGAAACATTTCTTTTCGAAAAACCAAACTTTTTTTTTTTTAAAGAAATTTAATGGAAAAACCATTAAAAAAAGGAAAAATGAATGTGTGACGGGCACAAACACACACCAAATCTTTTTAAACACTTTTAAAGCAGTTTTAGGACCATTTTTTAAAACTAGCCTACTTAATTTTTCATACTTTTAAAAATGATTTAGAATCTTTATTTAGCCTAACACAATAAAATGAGGCTGAACATATGAAAAAAAAAATTATTTGTGCTTATGTCGCCAATTCTACCATATTAAATCCTGCTATCAGATTTGTATGAAAGATTTATTTTTTATTTGGTTGCTATATTTTTGTACATATCCCCATTAGACGGTTGGCTCAGTTTCAATATTGATGATGCCTTCTGATTTCTTTCCTCACAATCTTTGCGTTTGTCAAACTGTGAATTTTACTGGGTCAAATAGTAAAAGTTTGAAATATTAAATATTTTTTTAAGGTTGCAAAGATGTATGACTTGGAAAATTATAGTTTGTGGCGAGTAATCAGTTCTTTTGTCCGACAGAAAGAAAAACTAGTGAGAAAGGAAAAAGAGAAAATGAAAAAGGTTAATAGTTGAAATAATATATAAAGTTACAAGGTAAAATAAGATTATATACAGAAGTTTGTATTACCTGTGAGTTTATTTAATCCATTACGGTGAGTGTTCTGAATTCTGATTAGTCTTAGGATTATCTCTTTTTTACAAAACTCTCACTCCTTCTAGAAATTATGCGTTCTATTCCAGAAAATCCGTTCTTGTAGATATCAATGGCTCATTCTCAAATTACAAGCTCTTTTGAAAATTAGATTTTCTTTTACGTTTCACTGGAGTTTGTGGTTGTATTTTTGGTAATTTGTAATTTTCTCTAATGCACGTTTTTTTTAATTAAAAAATATTAATTTTGCCTTGTTCTAAGTTATTATTTTTCCTTTCTGTTTCGAAGTTCACGTGCATCTTTTTTTTGGGGTAAGGTTAGGGTGCTATAAATTTAACCAAACTTGCAACCAGATCAAAGAAGTCACTTTAACTTTTTAAGTTTCTTGTTTAATCCTTATTTTTAAGGTTCCCTTGAACCCTCTATAACTTTACAAGGTTCTCGAGAAACTAATTTTATTTTTCTCAATTTCCAGGTTTTGAATTTTCACTTCAATAGTCTCCTAGTTCTCTCAAGGTCTCCTGGAACCTAGTTCTTCTAGTTATTACTAGAATCTAGTTCTTCTAGCACTCAAGGTTTCCTGGAACCCAGTTCTTCTAGTTCTCAAGGTTTCTGGGAACCTAGTTCTTTTAGCTCTCAAAGTTTCCTGAAACTTAGTTCTTCTAGTTCTCAAGGTTACCTGGAACCTAGTTCTTCTAGCAGCTCAAGGTTTCCTGGAACCTAGTTCTTCTAGTTCTCAAGGTTTCCTGGAACCTAGCTTTTCTAGTTCTCAAGATTTCCTGGAACCTAGTTCTTCTAGTTCTTAAGGTTTCCTGGAACCTAGTTCTTCTAGTTATGAAGGTTTTGTGGAACCTAGTTCTTATAGGTCTGTAAACTTGCTTTTCTAGTTCTAAGAGTTTTCTAGTTCATCTAGTTCCAGAGTTCTCTGAAACCTAGTTCGTCTAGTTCTCCAGGTTTCCTGGAATCCAGTTTTCTAACTAAGAAGTAGAACTATGCAGAACTAGGGATGATCCAGTTATCAGATTCCTCTGTAAACAAACATTTTATAGATACTTAGTCAGTTACATAGGTATACAGATAGATATAAATAGATAGATAGATAGAAATATATACAATATCAAAGGATTAGGTAAGCAGAAAAAGATTTATGAACATGGGTAAAAATAAGACTTCAGAGCAGTTATAAAAGTATTTATACAGACTTTTTATTACAATCATGGTTCTATACTCGTAAATTTGTATCGTTAGGGTGTCTACCCTCCAATTTATACTTCCTCTATTGTATATCTACCCTCCAATTTATACTTCCTCCATTGTATTTCTACACTCCAGTGTATACTTCCTCCATTGTATTTCTACAATCCAGTATATACTTCCTCCATTGCATTTCTACACTTCAGTATATACTTCCTCCATTGTATATCTACACTCCAGTTTATACTTCCTCCATTGTATATCTACACTCCAGTATATACTTCCTCCATGGTTTACCTATACTCCAGTATATACTTCCTCCTTGGGTTACCTATAATCCAGTATATACTTCCTCCTTGGTTTACCTACACTCCAGTATATACTTCCTCCATTGTATATCTACACTCCAATGTATACTTCCTCCATAATTGTATTAAGTGAAATGTATTTGAATACCTAATGTACCACTCTATCGGATAGATAATGAGAAAGTAAATGGTAGATAACAAGATAATGTAAACTAATCATTAAATGAATGAATTATAGATTATTTATTCACCAAGCAAGTTACAGATACTTTTTTATAAACATTTTTAAGAGCATTGTTGTATTGTATTTCCGTGTATTCTGTATTTATTATTTAGTTAAATAACTAGTAAATATTAAAAGCATAGTTGTATTGTATTTACATGTATTCTGTACTTATTATATAGTTAAATAGCTAGTAAATGTTAATACCATAGTTGTATTGTATTTCCTTGTATTCTGTACTTATTACATAGTTTAATAGCTAGTAAATGTTAAAAGCATAGTTGTATTGTATTTCGATGTAGTCTGTCTGTACATATGACATAACTAGTATATTTATAAGAGCAAAATTTTATTGTATTTCCAGTTATTCTGTAGTTATTACATATTTACATAGCTAGTACATGAATAGCGTGTTGAAGGATTATGGTAATCTTAAAGAAATATTTCTGAATACAAATGAAGTTCCCTGTATACTGGATAATGACTCAGTGTAACCCCCACCCCCTTAATTTCTCCATGAACCCTTGCACCCCCTTCACCCCCCCTTCTCCCCTGACGTATTGAACAGAACGAATCCAACCAATTTTATCAGCTTTCTTTTACCGAAGCTAGTAAACCTATTGTTAGTTTAGAAACGTTGGCAAAGAAAGCTAAACAACTTAATAAACAAAAGAACCACTTCTCCCAACCCTCTTGTAGATGTTCATCGGTCCCCTTGCGTGTTTTAGGCCCCCCCCCTTCTCTCTCCCTTTCCCTCATTCTTTCCTCCCCCCCCCCTCCCCCTCTAATGTTCCTCAAAATGGTAAAACTGATTTCAATTTGACTTCTGCTTAGATGGTTTAATTGTTTAAAACTAGAATCAAAATGTCCTTTTTTGGTTTAGGAATACGAAGACATTTTTATTCATTTAAATTTACATCCAGGAAATCCATAAATTGGAAGAAAACCTTTTTTAAATACGCTTTAATCACTTTTGAGTTTTCCTAAACTTGTTTTTGTTTCAAATGCTATTTTTGTTTTAAACTATAACAATCAACATCTTTTAATGGAATCTAATAGAAATATTTTTTTGCTGCTTAATTTTCTGCTCTTTCTCCTTTCTCTTAGCTTTCCTCATAAGATTTTTCCTTTTATGTCGGTTTTCTCTTTATCTTTAGATACAACTTCTAACTCCTCTATTTCCTATCTAATCTGTGGAATAAACTCTAGTATAAAAATAGATGATACGGAGCTGGTTTCTTGTTTATCTATATTCCGACTGGTATTGGCATGTATGTCTATATCCTAGACTCGATATATACATAAATTTGCATATATTGACAGAAAAAGTGTATTTTCAATTATTTTCTAGTATTCAAAATAAAGGGGAATACAAATAAACAGATTTATCATGTAAATATTTATGACGGAACAAATGTCATCGTAAACTTAAATTTTTTAAAATCTTTTCCGTCAATATAAAAGTTGAGTTAGTCGACTTATAAATAAAAATTTTAAAGTTCCAGGCAAAGCTTGATACCCCAGCTAGTTCGAAATATGGATATTCTTAAAGCTCAAAGATAATCTACGTTAAAAAAGTACCAATTCTCTTTAAAATATATACTTTTTTAACTCTAATACTTTGTTTGTAGGTATTAAAATATTAGGTTAGAAGTGTTGAGATTGATATTAGCTATAGTAGTAATACAGTTATCAAATAGAGTTTAATCTTTTTCTGCATTTAATTCGGATTATTGTGTGTAAAAGAAGCCATATTTATTGAATATTTGGAAATGGTAATGCACGGGCAGCTGTAGTACATTTGAATTACCGAGCCAGGTCAACCTTTCCGGTCCTAGTTTGTACTGTACCTAGCTTTATGGACAGGACTAGCGGGTGCAACAAGGTTGACGCGAAAAGACTTTATGCTTCATATAGGTTAAATTTATTTAACCAAAGGGGCAGATTTGCGTAAATGTTGAAAAAGATCGGAAATATCAAGACAAGATTGGAAATATCAAGACAAGATTGGAAATATCAAGACAAAATTTGAAATATCAAGACAAGAGTGGAAATATCAAGACAAGATTTGGAAATATCAAGACAAGATTGGGAATATCAAGACAATAATTGAAATATCAAGACAAGATTGGAAATATCAAGACAAGATTGGAAATATCAAGACAAGATTGGGAATATCAAGACAATAATTAAAATATCAAGACAAGATTGGAAATATCAAGACAAGATTGGAAATATCAAGACAAGATTTGAAATATTAAGACAAGATTTGGAAATATCAAAACAAGATTGTGAATATCAAGACAAGAATGTAAATATCAAGACAAAATTGGGAATATCAAGATAAGATTGAAAATATCAAGACAAAATTAGGAATATCAAGACAAGATTGGAAATATCAAGACAAGATTGGAAATATCAAGACAATAATTGGAAATATCAAGACAATAATTGGAAATATCAAGACAATAATTGGAATATCAAGACAAGATTGGTAATATTATGGAAGAGTTTGGAATATCAAGATAATTCAAAGTTGAATTGCAGGTCTTCGACGACAAAAATAAAAATTTTATCATGTTTTCTAATTGGTTGATGTATTTTTCTTGTCTCTGTAACTAAATGCTATTATTAAAAAAAAGAAAAAAATTCATTCTTTACTGTTGTCCATGCTAAATCACAAGCTGGCGTAAACTGACGTGGACTGCGGAAAATTGTTAAAGAAATCTTTTTTATAACATTTTTGAAATACACAATAGTTTTTTGTTTAAAAACAAATGAAATATAATAATTTGATTTTATAATAAAAATTGAAAATTTAAAAATAGAATATTTAAAAAATACACTTTTATTTCATAGATTTTACAAACTGTTTTAAGGTTGTTTCAAAGTTTTTGTTTATATTGAGCTTTAATTTATGTTAGATATATCATGCATCATATCATAAATATGTTTTTTGAAAATTTAATAAAAATAATTGAAAAACTTGATTTTATATATTTGAGGATTAGGACAGATTTTGAGAGTTTATTTATTAACGTTTCAAACAAATTTAATTTAAAGTAATCTTTCTAAAGTTTCCTCTCAATTCATCTAATTCTAATCATCCCTAATCTAATTTTATTTCTATCATACAGTGTTGGTTATAGAACAAATAGTTTTACACGAAAAACAAACACTTCACAATCACAATTGCGGTGTTTCATGTTATTGGAATATTTAAATCAATGTTACTCAATAAAGTCTATTAGTTGTCTTCCTTTTGCACAGTTTTATGAGTATCACTGTAAATTTTCTAATCTTTGCATTCTTTCTACTACTTTTCTTTTCTTTTGTTCTTTATATTCTATTTTTTCATTCTTCTCTTTTCTTTACCTTATTTTTACTTGTTATCTTACTTTTCGTTAATTTCCTTATTTTGACCGTCAATATGAATTTCCCTGTCAATTCACTAATATCCCCTAATCCTTATACTTATTTTCTTTGCTGTATATATCTTTTCTATATACCATCCCACGTCAAACCAAAGCAAACTACATGCATGTAAGATTGAAATCTTTTATCTTTTCAATCATAACATTTTTTACTCAAAAAGTATTGTGAAGAACAAAAATGTTTTGAATTTCTAATATGTAACTGAATAAATTTGTATTTACATACTTGAGCATAAAATGCAAAAGTGGAGCTATAAGGAGGTCACAAAGTCCTATTAACGATGTTGCATAAATTTAACCTTCTTTTTATCTAGATTTTTTACCATTTATCTGTTTTAATTTCCTATACTAATTTCTTCCATTCCTATTCTTCTTCCTGAATATAAAAAATGTTTTTAACGCCATCCTTCTCATTTCCTTCCTCATTCTTTCCACTTTGTTTTCGTCTGTATCCCCNCCTCTTGCTTTAAAGTATTTTCTTCTAGTTATAAATCTTCCTGCAGGAACCTATTCTAGGATCTTTTTCTTTTAACCTCCAAGAACTAATAATGGAACCATTTTTCATCTAATATCAACACACGTTATCTATGTATATATACAACTGTTTCTTTGATTTTACGGGACAACATTTTTGCTGTGATTTTTTAAGGGTTAAATTCAAGTTATTTGATCACGAAATTTTTCTAATTAACCAGAAAATAAACAAGAATAAGTAAACATCACAGTAAAAACACAAAAATTGAAAATTGACAAGCAACATTGATGAAGACATACTGATAAGACAAAAAAAGATTTTTGAACAATCCTTTTGAACTTAATTCCATATTTACCAATTTCATATATTTAAATGTATCGGAAAAATCCCCGAAAATCCAGGAAAATCCAGGAAAATCCAGGAAAAAACCGGGTTTGCCGGAAAAAAAGTCACTTATTCACTGCGACACAAATAAGATTCCTTTTATCCAAGCGGAAAAAAAATATCAGGATGATATTTGCCACAAACTCAAATGTTTTCATCACAATATATTTGTGACCGGATGGTGTAAACCTTTGATATTTCAGACGTTGACTATTTTATCTAGCAGAATTCAGAGTTTGAAATATCAAAGGTCTACGACATCGGATTGCAAAGAATAAGGGATTAACCCTTTCCCCGCTGGGGTACTTGAAAACCAGGATACGCTGGGGGGGGGGTCAATTTGACCCCCCCTCTAAATCCCATGTTTTATGTCCAAATATGACAAACCCCCCCCAGCGGGAATAGGGTTAAAAAATCAGAACTTTTGGCGAAAACTCAGTTCCTTTGTCTCAAAATTTAATAAAATCTATATTTATACCGTTGGTCTGTAAAAACTATAGTTTTGGAAGATAGTTTCACGTTAAAGTCATTAAATGTTCTGGGTTAAGTAATAAACCAATTAATAAATTTTAAAATGTGAAAGACGTAAATATTTAAAACAAAGATATATTTAATGCTTTTCCTAGCTTCTAGCTTACTAAATATTCAAATATATAGTTTGGTATTGTTTTAATTAAAATTATATACGCTTTATGTACTACCTTTCCTTATATTAAAGATATATTCGTGCACGTATTATATTGTGCTTGAAATATATAATAATATATCAGGGTGTATGCGTGGTATTAAGTGCTACCAGAGAAAGAAAACTAACCCCGGTTAATATATCACAGTTCTCACAATCCGTCCTCCAATCCTCAACCTCGGTTCAAGACTGAGCAAATTCTCCGTTAACCAACCTCTCATCCTCCACTCATCCTCCACTCATCTTTATCATCATCCTCCACTCATCTTTATCCTCATCCTCCACTCATCTTTATCCTCATCCTCCACTCATATTTATCCTCATAGCCTCCACTCATCTTTATCCTCATATCCTCCACTCATCTTTATTCTCATATCCTCCACTCATCTTTATCCTCATATCCTCCACTCATCTATATTCTCAAATCCTCCACTCATCTTTATCCTCATATCATCTACTCATCTTTATTCTCATCCTCCGCTCATCTTTATCATCATCCTCCACTCATCTTTATCCTGATATCATCTACTCATCTTTATTCTCATCCTCCACTCATCTTTATCATCATCCTCCACTCATCTTTATCCTCATCCTCCACTCATCTTTATCCTCAT